ATATATATACATATATACTGTTATTACATCAGCTTGGGACTGTAGAGTCACAGTTAATAAAGCTAATTTTATTGCTAGCTTAAGAGCTATAAAGAGTGTTTGAACGCTCTTCCTGATATGTTATACATAAAAGAAACAGCATCATCGAGTGCAATTACAACCGTGATACTCTTCTTACCTCTCTGGCTCAAGTGATTTAACTATATAGCATACTTTCACACAAGTGATGCGTCTGTGTTTCTGTTTGTGAACTCACGTGCCGGAGCCATAGATTTGTCTCCATTATTTGATTCAATTCATCCTGCAAAAAAACAAAGAGAATAAAAAAAAGTCCCCATTTAAAATTGTATAAAAAGGTTGCTTGTATGGGAAAACCGCTAAATTTGCTGGGAATAACAAAAAACAATACAGTTCTTTCTCCTTTTTGTTTGAATTCATTCAAATTGTTCATATTCTTGTGTCAGCCTGTTAAACCAAACAAATAGCTTTTCTTTATTGGGTACACTGATCTCCAAACTCAAATCAAAACCTCAAACCTATTGTGGCCGCCTGTTGGTTTTCGTAAGAAACCGGAGTATCTGCTATTTCTCCACACATTGCATTAGTTTTTAGAACTCACACCTTTTGCTCTTACAATATCAGCCATGATGTTTCTTCACCACTCTAGTGCTTCAACCCCTCCTAAAAAAAAAAAATAAAAAAATAAAAAATCAGGGCAAAGACTAGACATTTACATTTATGCCTTCTGGAAGCTTTTAGAAGCCCCTCACTCCTTTACTCCATTAAATTCACCTCAGTGCCACGATCATACCATGAAGAAAAAATGGCCCATCGGGATTTCATTGCTTAGGGTTGAAAATAAAAGCTCATCTCTGGGTCAAGGGGATGCGATGCAGATCTTTGGATGTGAATAATTCATCATGGGATAAAAGTTCCAGTGAAGTGGATGGATATTTTTATGTGTTGTGCTCCACTTCAGGAAGAAAAATGGCAGATGTTTGAATCGAATGAACAAGGGCAGGTTTAGGAGTGCAGCAGGTATGCGGACTGAAAGGAAATGGAATGAAGGAGGAATAAAATGCAAGGAAATCCAGCAAAAATAGGAGAGGATTTGGGACTCAGCTTTCACAACAGAAATGAATTAAACATTTCATGACAGGACAGCAGGGCAGGTTCACCAGCATCAAGGTAAAGAGTCCTGGCAGAAACACTGATTTGTGCTCAGTCCTCTCTTTCAAATGCCTCTCTAATATGACTGGCAAAGAGGAGCATGTCATTACAGCAGACTGTGAACACAGCATTTGTTGGGTGGATATACAGGAGACATCAAAGGCACATTACTTACATTGTGCTTATTTTGGTTTTCTTCATCCTGTTCTTTTTGTACACCTGCTGCCTCACTGGATCAGACTGGGTAAACTGATTCCTAAACACATGAAAACTGGCGAAAGAAAACAGTGTTTTAGTAAAGAAGGGACGTGCATCGTAGGAATCAGAGAATGCATGATGGTGATAGATTTGTTATAATTGAATAGGTTTGATTCTGTTGTATTTCAGTTGTTTCTGAATTCTTTGTGTTTTTCTTATTTGCATCTTTTGTTCTTTCCATGTTTTGTTTGCTGTTGTAATAAAAAAAAAGAACAGAACAGAATAACCATCCACCACATGAAAAAAAATTTCTTCAGCTAAGCTTAAGTAAAGATAAAACAAGAATATACCTAATAAAAAAAATAAACTAGAGCAATATAGAACAAGAATAAAATACAATTCCAATAGATTCCAGTACTTGTTCCTGTGGGCTGGTGAGTTTATTCAAATAAATACAGTAGTTCACATGTTGATTACCTGGAATCCCCCTCATCAGTATGGATCTTTATTCTTTTCCCTTACTTATTTTCCTGGATTGTATTTTTGCAACCGAAGTCTGAGTATCTTCCTTACGAGTGGTATGTTATTGGTTTTTAGTGGGACTTGCAATAAAGCTAATAAACATTTTGTTTTCACCTCAACTTTCTCTTACGTTCCTTTCTCTGTTGTTCCATCTCAACGGGTCTAAGGTTCACAGTACTATTATCTGAGATTCGGGTATAACTAAAATCCACACAAAAATAAGTAGAAGCTAAGGTCAGAGTGCTTCTCCACTTAGAGTTTGATGTGACTCTTTAAGCTCCTCTGCCTTCAGATTTCAAAAGTCATCCCCAAAAAATTCAAACCTCACTGCTTGTTTCCTATCAGCAATGTTTTTTCATTAAACTATGGTGTCTACTTAAAATATATACATTTTTTAATAAAATCAAAGTTTCTTATCCAGCTATTTTTTTTCAAAAGACAGTGTTTCTTTCTCCCTCTCATCCTGGAGGATAAAGCCACAGGCTAAAAGAGTGATACTGTAATACCAACAGTGGCTGTTCAGCCATGATTCATGGTCTGAGTTAATATTTATGTCACATGTGCTTCAAGCTGGTCGACTTTTACTCGAGGAGATGAGCAGAGGCTGAATTATTTATTTACATATAAGGGAGTATAGCTGCTCAACTGTTAACGCAGGTTTTTGTTCATTTTTAACATCTACATGTTGAATTAAAGTGTGTAGTTATCTTTTCTTCTCTCTTTATCTCTCATATCTAGTTAGAATACCTATAAAATACTGAAGGTAAATTCTAACAAAGTAAATTACATTGCCTTGAAAAAAAAAAATATATGTACTGTACCTTACAAGACAGTCTGTGTGTATTTTGGCTCTCCTCCTTAGTTAATGCTTTTAAAGCCAAGTTCAGAGCTACTATATGTGTGGCTTTGCAGCTCAATCTCAGTTTGGATTAATTATACCTCATCTTAATACTTTAAAACATTTAATTGTAGTTTGTGCAGGTTTGGGCTAGGTGAGCTTCTGTTTCCAGATGTGTGTGCATCATCAATTCAATCAGTGTCTAAAATAAAGCATCCTTACACTTAGGTTCCAGAGTGGTGGTCTTTAGAAGGTGCTAAGGTGATGAAAAGTCTTAGTTTCCCTGCAGGTTTCTTATAACAATGGCCTATTTTTTTTTAAATCATTTGTTGATCAATATTTGTTGAGGAGAATAATGCTGATGAGGATTCTCAGTCATCCAGGTCATAGTCACTCTTTAAAAGTAAAAAAAAACAATCCACTGGACTTGGTTTCCAAGGTTTGAAAACGTTTCGCTTCCCCTCCAGGAAGCTTTCTCAAGTACAGTGGATTGTTTTTCTTAAACTTTTACAAAATTGTTGAGGAGAAGAAAAATATTTGGGCTGCACAGTGGATAGCACTGTTGCCTTGCAGCAAGATGGTTCTGGGTTCCATTCCCGGCCCTGGGCTCCTTCTTCATGGAGTTTGCATTTTCTCCCTGTTCATGCGTGGGTTCTCTCCGGGTACTCCGGCTTCCTCCCACAGTCCAATCCAAAGACATTACTCCTCGGGTGTGGTTATGTGTGTGAATGGTTGTCTCTGTGTTGCCCTGCGATGGATTGGCGACCTGTCCAGGGTGTACCTCACCTCTCGCCCATTGACAGCTGGAGATAGACACCAGCTGGAATAAGCATGACAGAAAATGGATGGATGGAAGAAAATATTTCAGATATCAATTGGTTACATCACTTAGATATATGGAACCCCATTTCCCCCACTCTGATGAAAAAAAAAACTAACCTATCTCATAATTATGAGACACTATCTCATAATAATGGGATATTATGAGATACCCAAGACATAATATTGAGATAGCTAAGTTTTTTTCTTCACATTGGCGGAAATTAGCTCCCATACATTTGCACACTGTTTTTTTTTTAGGTCTCAAAAATGATTTAAAAGAGTGGCAAATACATCTTGTTTTTAAAAAAGAAAAAGGACAAGCAATGGGAGCCCTGTCATCCGTCTTTTTTAACCTTACAGTAATACGTTAAGTCGATCACATAAAATACCAATAGCTTATATTGAAGTTCAATGCGATCAATCAATCTGCCATTTGTTGGGGTATACATAAGGTCCAGTCAGTCTTCCTATCAGGTGGGTTTAAGAGGAATTTTTCGCACTATTACATATGCATAGAGACGTCCTAGTCTACAATTGCGTAGGGGGCCACCCAGGTGTCAGTTACGGGGCCCCTGAGAGGTCGGGCCCCCTAAGCAACTACAGTCTCTGCTTACCGATAGTTAAGCCATTGCATCAGTGGATAAATGGATGGTAAAAACATTATGTTTTTAAATTAGGTTAATGAAAGAAGTCGCTCTGAGACCAGAAATTCAGATTATTTTTCTAACTTGAAACTTTCAACTCTCCTTCTTGGTCTTTTACTCATGATCTTTCTTCGGCTCGGTTTGGGATCGCATCTTTGCTTCGTTTTGTCAGGTGGCGCTAAACCGAGCGTATAAAATCCAGGGCTAAAATTAACCCAATCAGGGTTACCTCGAGGCGGATAACAGACTAACAGGGAGCTCTCAGCGAGCATCCTAATGAGGCGGGCATGGGAACAGTCTCCTCTGCGTAAAGCGGCGCACTGCTGCTGTTTAGTGGCTGAGGATAGACACCGCAAGCCAGAAGCTCCTCAGAAAACCTCCCAGCTTCTCGTAAACGTGAAGCTTTGTTCTATAGAGAAACGACTCTAACTTCAAGTGAAAAATAAGACATTAAATCACGATCATAAACAGGAGTTTAAATTAAACAGGCGCTTAGTGATGCTGAAATGCTTTTTTCTTACTCTCTGCTTTTACAGTTCATTTCCCATCCCTTTTAGGTAGAAACTTTCATGAACTCGAGATCCTACATATTTAATTCAAACATTTATAAAGTTTGCATGAACTAATCAATAATTTTCTTTGACCTTATTAAGTTTAAACACGCAGGGAGCATCTATATCTGTCCATTTGCTGATCTGTAAAGCAGTCCGTGGATGCGCCAAAGTGGAGCTGCGTCTCCATAGGGGAGGGATGAATCCAGTCAAGTTTGGATGGAAGAGCGCACGGTCACAGAAACACCGACTGCACCAGGAGAGACACCGAGCATTTCCCTATGCACCTTATTTCTCTCAGTGGTCACGCTGACTGCTGCGCTGGGCTTTTGTTTTTGTAAATGAAGAGGAACACAGGAGGAAAAGATGCTTTCATTGAGGTGGTCTTTGCTGTTTCTTCTAATCGTTTTGCAAACTCAAGGTAAGTGGTTTAGCTTAAAGAAAAAAAAAAAAGCTGTAAATGTGCAGCAATCTATGCTATTAAAGAAATAGTTTCGGATAAACTGAGCGCGTGAATGAGCGGTCGCTCTTAATAGATTATATTTTTCTTGTTGAAAGGTAGAAAACCTCTGAGTTTGTTTGAATTTTTTATTTATTTTTTTTTGGCTGATCTAAGTTGAACTTTTCTCCTACTAAAACGTTGCAAACACTGATTTGGTTTCTTGTAAGTAAGGCTTTTCATAATTAGGAATAAAAAAAAATCAATTTAGATATTAATGAACATTAAAACTGTTCCCAATGACATTAACTGGGTCACTGAGAGAAATGCAATAAATTGCAAATACATTTCGATGAAGGCAAATTTTGCTCAAGGCAAGATTTCATGAAACCAAAACAGATGAATAATCTCTTCAGAGGACGTGTTCTCCCGGCTTTATTCTTCCCCTTGGTGAGGTAGAATTATTCAGGGCATGTGCCTTCACTGTTTATTCTGGCAAAGGGGAGATATGTTGTCTTCAATCAGCAGACTGAGTCAACTGAAGGCAAAAGATATAAAACCTTCTCACAGCATGGGATGTCACTGCATAAATCTAATGACCTTAGTTGCTTAAGATCATAGCTCAAATATAAAACAGCTCCCATACGTTTTTTCGCTCGTGTTAAAATGTGTGGTGTTAAACTTTGAAGTAATTTAAATATATATTCTCTTATTTTGTGATCTCTTTGACAACTATGGTTCAATTGTTTATTTCTAAGAGGTTCAATCAGGTTTGTCTTTAAGGAATTTAGAGAAACACAAACGGGTCAGTAAACATGAGTTTGACCTGAGGTAGACATAAAGAAAAGATCTGGGAAAAAGAACCCCTGAAAAAGTCAAAGGGCAATAAAGAACCAACAGTAAGGAGTAAAGGAAAAAGGGCAGACAGACTGACATTCTTTAGTATGGCTAGAAGGACGGGGCATTAATGGGACAAGAGGAAAGGCAAGGCAAAACCAAAATTAAAGGGGTGGTGGTGTTGTGGAAGAAAAAGGATCTAAAGGTGTTAGAATTCATCCAAAATCCTAATCACTGACCATTGCTGAGCTGAGAGCTTGGTTCTGAGCTGCAGGAACACTTGGAACGCACAAACATTTCAATGCTGTGGCATATCAAAGCCTAATGGCTAATATTTGCTCCTGGGGCATAAACAGCAGCTATCTGATTCATGCATGGTGGCAGATTGTCTTTCTTCTGGTTTATCAGCCTTCCTGCATAACCCTAAAAGATTATTCACTCTTTCTCTGTTTTTCTTCAAAGACTCGTAATTAATCAGACCTTCTCTAATAATAGTTGCTGGTGGTTTAGAACTATTTCTAAACCAGCAGCAATTATAAACTTGTCTTTCTGATTTTAGTTGCTGTTTAAGACAAGTCTGTAAATTCCAACCACTTGAAAAGCACATTTGTTAAAGGACAGCCGAGATAAATCAGTTGCCTTCGCTGGTATTACCTGTACACAGAAGAGACTCAAGAATTTTGTTTATTATACAAAATTTAATGTTTAGAGATATCTTTTTTTTCTTTCTGTTGTTGAGATGGTGTATTTTTACCAACTTTGTTCATCCCATTCTTAGGGTTTTTTTTGTTATTGTTTCCTTTTTTGTTGGACGTTTCCCACTGCTGCATCGTTTGTTAAGCAGGTTTTTTTTTCCAGTTTGTTATTCTTGCCTTTCACATACTTTTTGGTGTCTGTTTTGACATTGGTGTTGACTCTTAGCTTTTAAGTTTTGTGCTTGTGTTACATTTGGTAGTTGGTTTCTGTCCCTTTAGAGTCACTCTCATTTCCACTTGGGGTCAATTCACATTTATGCAGTCATTTGTATTTCTTTACTAACTACTGCTGTTTACTCCTCTTTTTAAACTCCTTTATTGTTAAATAAGATTGCAAAGTACGGAAATCTAAAAGTACCTCTAATAAAAATATAGACTAAGCACTAGAAAATTCAACCAGACAAAAAAATAGCATTTGAATATTTGAGGAGCAGTGTTGTTTTCGTCCTGGCCGTGGAACAGTGGACCAGCTCTACACCCTCTGCAGGGTGCTTGAGGGTTCATGGGAGTTTGCCCAAC